ACTAATGTGGGACATGTAATGGACACATTTTGTAAGGCTTGATCAATATGGGCCTGCCTAAATTCCTGTGGTTAAGATCTCAACGTTGAACAAATGATCCTTTGGCTCCCGAAACACTTGTTGGAAGAAGATGTATTCAGACATAAGGCAACACTATGTCCTTTATGGGCATACATATCCGAACCCTGGATGTGAAAATATGCAGTCTGTGCACTGAGGTTGGGATAAAAATGTGTGTATATATGTGTGTGTGTGTGTGTGTGTGTGTGTGTGTGTGTGTGTGTGTGTGTTAGGGGTGGAGTTAACTGTTCAAGAAACTGACCTAAGAAATCAGGTTGGAATGTCAGCTGCAAAAACATACCTTCCACATGACTACAGGTCGGCTTGTGAGCCAGATACATTTTCTGCATATCTTTGCAGCGAATAAAATATCTCCTCAAGGTGTAGGACTCACAAACATGTGGGCAATAAGAAATAAAAGCAATAGCAGTGAATAGTGGAGCTAATGTCTTCCTCTTTGAGGGGGTGAAGAGCCTGAGATATATGGAGGGATAGTATGGCCTCCTGGAGATGTTGGACAGCTCGGTTCACTGCGCTGAACATGCAGCCTAAGAGATCTTACTGTACCTGAAAGGGATTTCCGAGGGATAAAATGCAGGGGGCAATACTTCGACTAATCTTTGAAACAAGCCAAACAGGGAGGTGTACAAAACAGACAACAAGCTGCATGGAATGCAGGTCTGAAAGCAGAATGATGAACAGCATATTTTTTCTTTTCCGCACTAAAGACATTAAGATGATGTCGTGGAAATTCTTCCCAAAGTTGAGAAGTGCTAAGTCTCTGAAGAACTTTCAAGCCGGTGTGATAATCAAGTCACTTTACTTCATGCTGCATGGAGAGAAGGTCACGTCATGGATGTTCTCTCCCGACTTCCAAAATGCTCTCCCTTATATACATTTCAGTGCATCTCATTACATCACAAACAATGAAACCCCCTGTGTGTCTTGCAAATGTTACTCCTGTAAATCCAGGTCTCTCTCACCAAATGGTCCTTTGATGTGTGACTTCCCCCTGGCTCTTCCTATCATAAACTCAACCTTTTGACCAGGGGCACATCTATTTTATTACCCCCAAATCCTGTTTCTCTCCCACAATGATCTGGAAATCATTTATAGGATGCTCTTACACAAATGTTTTGCTTGGAAGGGGGAGGGTGAAGCGAGGGAGTTGCAATCTGCCAGTAAATCCTACACGCTGGGCCTTTAAAATAAAAGCTTCAAGATCATTTTGATTTACTGGATCATATTTTATGGAGAAAATGTTTTCTGCTTTTCCCTCTGGTGTCCTCTGGCTGCTCCGCCTCAACTGTCTGTAATTTTTATGATGGACAGTCAAGTAACAGCTGGTACAAACATTCAAATCCCACTTTAGGATGAATTGTAATAAATCTGGTCATGCCTTATCTTAACATCTAGCACCATCATCAGGTCAAAATTTCAACGTGTTCAGTTCTTTGGTTGAAAAATAAATGACGGATCAGCCTCAGCTGTTCTTTGTGTTTAATTCTAATGAGATAATGTCAGCATGCTAACATGTTCAATTAAGATGGTGAACATGCTAAACATCATAATTCTGAAACATAATGTGACCATTGTCATAGTGAACACGTTATGATGCTAGCTCAAAGCACGGCTGTGCCTCAGTACAGCTTCATAGAGCTGCTAGCATGGCGGCAGACTCTTGTTCAGAGTCAAGCTAGCCACTTGAGGGTCAGGACTGTGTCTATGTTCCCAGGGTTCTCTAACCCCCTAACCCTAGAACTGGGAACATAGACACACTCCTGCTGCCTAATCTCCCGTTGGCTTTAGCTTCACATTTAGCATACAGACATGGGAGTGCTATTGATGTTCTCATCTAACTCTCAGAAAGAAAGCAAATAAGTGCATTTCCCAAAATGTTAAACTATTCCTTTAACTTCAAGGATCTTAAAAGCAGCAATATCCCATTTTTTTTTTTAGAAAAGACCTGGTTGTATTTAAGGTAAAATAATTTCCCTCTAATCTGTACCTGTGACGATTACAAATGTCATTCTAATTTGTTTCACTAGTTTATTTGAAACAAATGTGTTAAAGTTTATTCTCTCAGCATGTAATTATTCCATCAATATACAGTAAAAGAAGACCATTAGACCAGCCAGTCAGAGATTCATTGTTCATGTCTTGCTCTGGACAGGGGGGAGGCTCTACATTTTCTTTTCACATGAGATTTCCTTAATGGAATGTCTTTATTGACTGTAGAAATAAAATGATGTCCAATCCTTCAACATGTGATTATATTTTATAAGAAAAGAGTACTCCATGTTCCTCGTGCCAGTGAGGCATTCCTCTGCAGGGAGTTGACTGGTGCTCTTCTGGAACCAAACATCTGTGCTTCTCACAGCTCTGTTTCATTACTCCCCGAAACACTAAACCCAGAAAATCAGCTTAAACACACTCAGGCATTTATTTTGAAAATCCCCACTGCAAAAACTCAAGGGGTCTTGACTGTGCCTAGAGTGTGAAACTGAACACTTTGGATGTGTTTAACAAATGCTGCCAGGAAGAACAACACATATCTCAGGTCTTGAGAGATTCAGATACATTCCTAATGCAAACTCGAAGCTCTATGTGATTTTCTCAGTGTCATACAAGTCTTTGTGTTGAGAAAGAAATCTAACCTTTACCATTTCACCACCGGTAAGTATGGTACTGTATACATGTCTAAAATGTACTGCTGTTGCAGCAAAATGGAGTATTAATCATGATATTATATATTGAACTCTTTTCCGAGAGATTTACTGTTTTGATCTATAACAAATAGTTTTCTTTGATTCAAAATACTGACATTGACCCGGCTGACATTAGCTTATCACAGATATTATCAATGTAGACAAATATTAACAGTAGTGCAGAAATGTTGACAGATATGTCATTTTAAGGTATTCTTATCAAATAATTTGATATGTTTATGTTGAAAAAAAAAACTGTATCCGCAGATATATATCGTCATCTGATTTTTAAACTCTATTATTCCATCTGTACAATATACAAACTATATTACAACAATATTGGCCTTAAAACCTGCAACCGGGGCTGTAAACTCCTTCAGGAACCTGCGGTTCAACGATGCAAAATAATCGAAAGGGCCTTAAAGTTTGTATAAATTATATACTAAATTAAACAGGGCACAGGTCGTGAGTTCATTTTAATATTGAAGGGTAAAAACATGGTTTCAAATCTTTTTTGAGGCATATTTTCCCTTTTTACACGTGGTTTATGTCAGTGACATATTAGCCAGCAAATTCAAATCAACATAAAATACGTCGAGGTACAGAAACATATCATCACAACAAGATGAAAAGTAAATACCAGTGTGCGGCCCTAAAATAATAAAATAAACAAACAAAAAAACTCAAAATAGCTGAATTCACTGCCAAGTTTCCCACAATAAAATCAGTTTAACTCGGCAAATCCAGCTGGTTAAGATTATATCACATCATTACTAGTAGCAGAAAGCCTTCCTTTAAACGCGTCAACAAGGGGTAGTACCGTGGACAGCTCCTGCATCCCTGGAGGTCCCGGGATCAGCACCCTGGACAGAGGTCTTGACACACTTTGGTGCAGAATGTTAAAGATTATCCATCTGAGCTTTAGAGGAAGACAGGAGAAAGCTACACAATGCAGAACGATGGCAACTGTCAGTGTTGCTTACATCTCACTTAGAAACATCTCGCCTGCATTTTTTCTCATTGGCAAGATTGACTGAGCAGATACATAACACCCCCGATTATTAGTGCTGCTAGTTTTTCAGATTGCATAATAAATAATTAACATAATAACATAATTAAGAGAGAGAAAATGACTTTTTGTGTCCAACATTTCAACCATAAAGTCATTAGCAAACTTTGTAGATAGATATCGTATTTGCAGGCCCAAACTGGCCACCAGGAGTACTGCAAGAGCTGTACATTAAATTAAAAATAAATGGATATTATATAAATTACCACATGGAAAGACCTATTTCTTATTATATTTTTAATTATATACTCAACAAATAAAAGGTAGTTACACATATTCAATTAACCGTGTATCAAAATATAAAATATTATTATTCACCATCCAGGTATTTTAACGTCCAGCGACATGTTAAGGCACAGAGAAACAGCAGAGAGTGGGATTTGTGATGTAACTTAAAAAAAAACTGTAAAAATATGAAGATTTTTTTCTATCATTACACACAATATATATTGTCATATCTCTCCTGCAGTGTTCGGCCAGTGTGAAAAACACCAACTTAACTGTGTGAATGCAAGTGAAAACAGCATGTGGCAGCTACAGTCATTGAGAACTGAAAAAACTACAAATATACTGATGAGAAAGGGACGTGGTTAGTGTTTAAAAAACAAAACATGCTAGCAATGCCGCCCTCAGCACGTCATATCACAACTACCCTTCCAAGTTTATAACAATGTTTTAGAAAACGTACCAATAAAGAATACCAACACTTAACCATGATCTGTAGAAAAGTATATATCTGCACAAGAATATTAAAACTCCAGTATACATATATATATTAATTTCTGTAGGTTTTATGGAAGTTCAATTGACCGACTCTCAAAACTGAAGACTTGTGGCTGTTTTTAACTATTTTTGATGTTTTTTGGAGCAGTTTTTGTGTAGTAATAAAATGTTAATATATGTTACTGGTATAAACAGTAAACAGAAAAAGTATAAGTTATAGTTAAGTATTCAAGGTCTGTTGTGAATTTGTAATTGGACTTGACGGACATCAGATTCCCGGCCTGTAACTGTTACATCGCAACCTGTTTCAACATACATATCAGTACATATTTGTGTACTATGTACTGTGGAAAATCTTATAAACTTGAACGACAATATGTCTCTTGCAGATTTACTATTAATTGAGTGTGTAACAAACTGTTGAAGACGTCTCACAGACATTGGTTGTTTAAAACTTAAATTTATTTAATTGTACAGCAGTATTTCACAAATATTTACAAAACATTTACACACTACCACTGATGTCTTCAAAGTTAAGTATGAAAAATCTTAACGGCACATTTTAGAAAAGCATTTATAAATATCCAATCTGAGAGTTTGACTTACAAAAGTACCACAAAGGTTCATCACAACAAATTGTATCTCTGCGACAGAAAGTTTCTTGGATGGTTGCAGATATTCAATGTTCTCCTTTCCTGAAGCCGGGTTTAATCTAGTGTGCCTACAGAGAAAATAAAGAAGAATTAGTACTGAATAAACTGTACTGGTGTAAAAACAAATAATACATGTGCACACATCTGCATGAAGTATGATGTATGTTTGGTCTTTGGTATTCTTATTTTACACGTGGGAGATTTATTCAACCTGGAACATGAACAATTATTCATGTAAATCAACATGTCCTGACAAGGCTTACCTTCAAGAAATGCAAATTCATCAATGGCCTCTATTGCGTTGTCTATAGAGACAAAAAAAAAGAGAAAAAAGGTAAAACTAGATGTACGCACATTAACCAAAACAATCCAACGTCCTCTATAAAAATCCACCCTCTCTGAGTCCATCATCTGAACAATAACACAGTAAACACATCTTAAAGCCCACTGACTGTTTACGTATGTGCAGACTGTATTCAGGATGTCTTTACAGCACTTACCCAAGTCCTTTCTCTGCAAGGTTTTCCTCTTCCCTTGCTGGGCGTACACCAGGGAATCTTTGGCAATCATCTCAACAAACAACTCCTGCAAGAAATAAACAAAACACATCAATATTCTGTTATTTAAACCAAAAACAGAAACAAAAATGACTGATATTTTCCCACCTATATAGATATGGACCTGGAGAAAATGTAACACTGTTGTATGAGACTGCTACAGTGTTTTATAGTAATATTGATTATGTGATTATCACACACACACACACACACACACTCAATGATATAATCTTCTGATGAAAGTGCAGTTCAGTGGCTGCATCTATAGCCGGTGGAGTTTATAGTAAACTTTACTGAACACATTGATCACATAATACTGAGAAGAACCCTATTGAACCAGATTGTAGACAAACATCTCGTTATTCAAATGTAAATAGTCCCACACTTAGTGATTTCTTTACCGTGGCTTTAGCGATGATGAACACAGACTCCTGGCTGGCGAGTGACACGTCTGGGTCGGTCTTCATGAGCGCCTTGATGCGGGCCAGCGGGAGTTTGGACAGCCGGCTGTGGGTCACGGAGGCAGCGGGGCCTGTCTGCTGCTGGCTGCTCTCCTCCTCCGCCTCGGCCCCGCGGCTCTCCTCCTCACTCCCACACCGGTCCGGGTCGTGCTCCGTGGGGGTGACAGGTGTAGCGACCGTTGCTGCCATTCTTTGATTATTTACACAAAGGTTATAGTTTATAAAAAACACAAATAAATCACTACGGTTTTCTAGCTACATGTCACAGGTGACAACAACATCGGCAGCAGCGCGCCAGCATGTGCTTCCGGTCTTTCAGTCAGAGGTTCGCGCTGATTGGTCAGCCAGCCAGCCCGAGGTCCCGCCTTTTCCTCTCCCGCCAACTAATCTTCAACTGTGATTGGACAGATTGCGAACCAAGCTGTGGCTATTGGCTGGACTGAGTGTCAATCAAAGCAAGTTGCCTTGGACGATAATGTGGTGTTACTAGTGAGATTTTATTGTGATTTTAACTTATTTAAACAATTTAGTGAGTGGAAGATGAGTTTTATACTATGTATATATTTTTGGCAAGTTCCATACACAGAAAATTACAAATATAAATCCGAACTTTACTTACTTTCTTAAACCTTTTTTTGGCCACATGGGGGCAGCAGACACAAGCTGTGAGTCAAACACAGCATCCTGCTGTCTCCTTGTAGAGCTGATAATGGCAAACTGTTTAAAATTGTGCTTATTTACACATGTAGCAGACATGGAGCAACATTTGCATTCAGTTTGAGTCGTGTTGAGTCCAACATTCAGTCTATTTTTAGTTCTGTTTTGGTCTCCACCAATTCCTGAGGAAAATTACAAACCTAATGCTAATGCTAAATGCTTTTTGCAGTTGTCTGTCATTGGACTGAAATCAAAACAAATAAGTGTCAGGAAACAAAACAAAGTGCTTAAAGATGCCAAAATGCTGCATAGAGTTGAGGAGAATTGCAGACTTTTCTGTGGGTCCATCAATATGAGTGAGTCCTTTGACATACATTTAGTAATTGACCCACTGTCAATATTAAATATTGATTAAAGCAGTTTAAATTATGTTTTCCTATATTCCCATTCTTTAGCTAAAACTGCTAAATAAAAATAAAGAAGCAGCAATGACTTAAACTAAGTAAAAAGATTATTTCCTTTTTTGCATGTCCTTCAAAATATTCATTTTTTCTACTATATAAAAGAGCTTCCTGGGCGCCCCGTTATCTCAGTGGGTAGAGCTGGTGACCCATGTACTGAGGCTGAGTCCTTGCTGCAGCGGCCCAGGGTTCGAATCCGACCTGTGGCCCTTTGCTGCCTGCCATCCCCCTTCTCTGCCCCCCCTTGCTGTCCATCTCCAGCTATCACTATCATAAAGGCAATAAAAGCCCCCAAAAAATACTTTAAAAAAAGAGCTTCCTGAATTTAATTTATAATTGCTGTTTATATATGTGATGTTTCAATAATTGTAATCCCTAATGTGTGCTATGTTACTGTGCTTTGAGTTTATAATTGTTTACAACAGGATTTTACTGTAAAAAAAACAAAACAAACATGTTACATCTACTGTTGATATGTATACTGTTATTCATATCATACAATATTTTTTAGAGTTGAATGTCAGTAAAGCTTGGTGTAGCGGTCTGACATAATTAACTATAAATGTTACAGTTTCTCCTTCAACTAATTTACTATATTCAGGAAAAATAATTTAAAACATAAAATAAAAAATTCCAGTAGCTTACATTCATTATTTATCAACAGTTATTCAGTATTAACTAACTAATATGAGGTGTGATCAGTTTATTCTTTAAAAGTGTATATGCAGCATTTCCATCATTTTAGTCAATGTCAGATCACTCAATGAGCTGTCCACTAATACACTGCGCTAATAGGATTGTGAGGAGTGATTTAGTTCTCTCAAGCTCAATTCAGTTCAGTCACAGTCAGGTGTTACAGCTGGGGGATATACATGAAGGACCCGCAGCTCGCAGGTAAATTTATTTGCTTTGTATTTTTCTAATATTTATCTGTCTGCCGATCTGTTTGCAGAAAGTTTGGTATTTTTATAAATTTGGTTAACATTTCTTAATAAGACACTCTTCACAAAGAGTTTATAAGCTGTAAGTAATCGCTTCAATTCATGAATAAACCTTCTGGTTATGTTTGTTCTCCAGCATGACACATGTCTGTAAGATGGATTATTGTAAACCCTCGATTAATGACTTTTTAACATATATAATTGTAGCATTGGTAGTTTATTAGAAAGTCAAAAACCCATACTAGAATGAATTTATGTTTTACTAATATTTACTGCATTGCTGCCAAATAAAAAGGATAAACATCAGCCAATAGTATTCTTCATAACCTGGCAACCACAAACTTTTTCCTTTTAATGCTGATTAACCAACAAAATGGTTGTATGGCTACTGAATATATACATGCATGTTTAGTCCTAAATTGTATGATGTACTGTACATAGCGATGCAGAGGAGCAAGATAATAATTTTATTAAATTAGTTTTGTTGGCAAGACAATTTAATTTACCAAAATTTGCATATTTCATTCCATGTAAATTAAAAAGTTCTTTCTATTAGAATGTGTACAGCAACAAGTAACATGTACAGAATAAAGTACAATATACACACAATTCAAGTAAATTCAGTACGAACAAAAGAAAAGAGAAAAATTTTGTATTCATTCCAAATTGACTAGACCCCTGTACTAATACTGTATCTAAAAGCAGTGAGTAATCCCTTTCACCTTGAGAGCTGAGCTTACCACAGGGCTAAATTTAACCTACAGTGATCAGGACGAGGAATAGTATTATTATCACACTGTAAATTTACAAGAATTCAATGTCAGTGGTTGTTATTGACCATTTGCCGCTTTATTTAACTCATCGCCCTTTACACGCGCTGTCACTTGAAGAGGTTACACAGAGCTCAAGCTGTGGCGGATGAACAATCTGATATCTGACCCTAATGCTCGCTACTCTTTGTTCAATGCTGAAACCTTAATACACTGTTTCCTGTAAAAACAAAAAAAGGGTCTAAGCATCACAATAAAAGAAAGTCAAAATACTTTCCTGTTTGGCAGAAAGTGAATACTTTGGCCAGTTTTTAAAAGAAATGTGCTAAGACCTGAGGACTGTGTGCTGTGAATAAGACCTGTGTTCCCAGAACAGAAAAAAACAGGAAAGGTTGACACATCCTGCTTTTGTCCATCATTAACCCTAACTAACCCTAAATGAACACAAATATGTTGAAACATTTTAACACAGTCCAAACATATATCTGCACCTACCTGGACCTATAAAGCTGATACAGACATTACAAAGTCTTTGTCAAATAAAATAACATAAGGAAAGCTCTCCTTGCATCCTGAGAAAGAATAGATTTAATGTCAGTTTATTCAAACACTATATGTGTGAAACAAAAGGATAAAATATCAGTTAATATTTATTTATTGAAATCTATATTATCAGTTAACATTTGCCTACAGACACCAACAATTTATAAAGTAAACCCAAACCACGATGAAGGTTAGGGTTGTTGTAAAAGAGGCCAGACGTTTCACCACACACAGTTCATAGTTAACATGGAGGTCAATCTCATTACCACTGTTCTTTACGTAGAGTAGTCACACTACTTCTGCACTTACTTAAGACGTCAGTGAGCCATTCCAAAAATAACTTTGGTATCCGGCTAACACACGCTCCAAAAAAGGTAATGTTAGCGGTGACTTAAAAGTGCATTTATCCTAATGTGGCTGCATCGTCCTTTCACACTATGCTGCTGACTTATTTTTGCAGAATGCCAAATCTTCGCTGCTTTCTAATTCACTCTTCTTTCTTAAATGTATTTTCAAGCCATCAAGTCGCGCCTATGGCCAAAGCAGAAAGTGAGCAAAACATCCAGAGAGGAGGCTCCGAAAGGGGAAAAGAGCGCCAAGCCCCTGGCCTCTCCTGCCTTTTCTGCTGCCATCCCACAGCTGACTGAAGCAGAGAGAATGAAGCAGTCACCATTTGAGAGGGTCGTCTACGACATGGCCCACAATGAGAGGATCATCAATGACCTGATGCTCGGTCGGAGAGTTGGCTTCTACGAGCTGCGTGGAGAGATTGGGCAGGGAAATTTCTCTACGGTCAGATTGGGCATTCATGCCTTGACGAAAGGTCAGGAATCAGTTATTTGAGTGGTTTTGTCCCATGTATTCATTCATTTCTCTTTGTTTCTTTTAAACCCTTATCAAGCAGTTGAATCCTTACCCAACCGTGACAAACTACACACTTTTGAATGCACAAAGCTATGGAGCCCTGGGAAAACCACGTTCAGCTCCCACAGAATGACAACTTTGAAGTGCATGCAAAACACAAAAGTGAACGTGTGTCAATAAAAATCATAGAAATAAAAAAAGGGGCTGGGAAAAACAACAACCTCAGTGGTTGTGAAATCAAGCCAATGCTGATGTAACAAAAACTGCAGTCCCTCAAATGACCACTTGAGGCTGTGGTGCAGTAGTGAGTCAATCTCAATAAGGCCCCATGTTAAAATCATTCCACCTCAGCTACACCTCACGCTCCACTTCCTTGCCACATTTTTGGATTAGCCAGGAGTCAGGACTGCCGACCAATGAGTTTTACAATGGCTTTTTAATTATACAGCCTATGGAAAAAACACTACATTCATACCCCCTTGTCTATTGTTCAGTATCACTTAACAATTCACTAAAACTCCACAGAGTTGCCTTTCAGAAGAGACCAGGATCTGGACTGGAGTTCAACAGTAACAATTTAATTTAATTTATTCTATTTATTAAATTAATGCTAGAATCTTAATGAATAATGAATCTTTGATCCAATGTGAAACGCATTACATCCTGTCCAGTCTAGGCAGCCGCACTTAAGCCTGAAACCACTTAACTGTTGTGTACACAGTTTGACTTTGGGGAGATTTTGTACACGAATAATATTAACGGGTTTGTGAATAATGTAGACTGATCCGCTGAATAAGCCTTTCTGATCTCAAGATCTTTCCTGACCCCTGCAGTGCTTTTATTTTCTGTTGTTGTTCTGTTTTGTTGTACTTTTGTTTGTGTGTGCAGGTTGAACTGTTGGGGGGTTCTTGGTTCTTAGCCACATTTTTGTCATACCTCAAAATAATGCTGCAACAATCTTCCAATTTAATTAGATACAAAAAATATATTTTTCCATCTCCCGTGTTTTCGCATGTGTTTAAATCTCTTAAGTATGTCTCTGTCCTTATTCTGAACTTTGACCTTGTAAGACCCTCTCTAAATCCATCTCAACATCTAAGCGTCCCCTCCTCTTCTGTCTCAGAGAGAGTAGCCATCAAAGTCGTGGACAAGCTGCGTCTGGATAAGAGGACCCAGACGATGTCTTCCTCAGAAATCAGCTGCATGGAGAAGCTGTGCCACCCCAATATAGTGCGACTTTACGAGGTGTTCGAAACCAGCAGGAAGCTGTATCTGGTGATGGAGTATGGCAGCGGTGGAGACCTGTTCTCCCGAATCACCACCAGGGGGAAGCTGAATGACCTGGAAACTAAGCTGGTGTTTGCACAAGTAATCTCTGCCGTTAAACACATGGTGAGCTTCAGTGTCAGTCTGAATCATTATCTGTCTGTGCTTCATAGCCTTTGATTCTGATATGACGAAGATATTCAAAGTGAGTAAGAGCTGCATTTGAGATAAAGAGTAATTGTTTTAAAGGCTCAGTCTGTAAACGGTCAGTGGAGAGCTGACATGGGAGATAACATGCAACAACAGTTTCTCAGTCAGCCTTAAACTGTAGATACAGTCAGCATCTTAAACCCCTATGCCACCATAATGACCCATTTTTGAGGAATTGAAACTGAATATTGCCTGTTTTCCATCAGACACTCCTTCCAAACAGTGATAAGATGAGGGGGCTCGAGATGACTAATAGGGTAGGAAAGTAGTAAGATTATTGCCTTGTCTCTCAGTTTTGCTTTTACTGTGAAATATTGGATCTGGATTTGATTTTATTCCTTTGGACCTAAAACAATTATTTCAATTAAATCCTAATATAAGTTTAGAGGGGAGATCTATCTTTGGTAGAACTGCTAACAATGGCAAAGGACCCCAACCATAAACAGATTTTTGTCAACAATTTATTGTATTTTATAAACTATAAACAATATATCTTTATATAAAATCTTAATTTGAAAGGTAACTAGTAACTATAACAGCCATATAAATATATATTTAAAAAGGAAAACATAAATGTAGTTAGTTAGAAGTATAAAGTAGACAAAATTATAAATATAAGTGCAAGTACACAACCTGAGTAATGTACTTAGTTACTTTTACACCACTAATAATGATAATATATAATTGATAGAATACTGTTTGTGTAACATGATGAAAGCATTAAAGTTATTTTTGTAAACACTTTCTTTCCCTAAAAGTAAATGTCAAATCAGATTCTTTTGTGACATTTCAGCATGACAACAAAATCGTCCACAGAGACCTTAAGGCAGAGAACATCTTCTACACCACCAGCTACTGCATCAAGGTCGGAGATTTTGGTTTCAGCACAGAGAGCGGCCCTAATGAGCTCCTCACCAACTTCTGTGGCTCACCACCGTACGCTGCTCCTGAACTGTTTAAGGAAAAAGGTTACATCGGACGCTTCTCAGACACCTGGGCTTTGGGTATTCTCTTGTACTTCATGGTGACGGCCACTATGCCCTTCTATGGGGACAACATGGGGAGGCTGAAACGCTGCATCCTGCAGGGGGCCTACAGCATCCCTGCTTATGTGCCCGATCCATGCCAGCTGGTCATTAAAGGCATGCTGCGGCCTGTGCCTGCTGACCGCTCCACTCTCACACAGATTACAAACAGTGCTTGGCTGAATGGGATCGAGTACCCTCGTCCGTATGTCTTGCTGCCCCTGTCCCCGGCTCACTTTGCCCAGGCCAACCAGGCTCTATGTGTGGAGGAGCAGGAAGTGAAGGGTTTGCTGTCAGATCTTGGCATTGTGACAGTCCATTTCCAAAACAATTCCTGCTTAGACAGTAGGAGCCCACTGACGGGGACCTACCGGATCCTTCTCCATCAGGTCCAGAAGAGGAGGTCAGTGGAAGCTGTAGGTTATTCAGCGCTTCACCCTGATGATTATGGGAGTCCACAGAAGTGGTCTGTAGCATCTGTGGGAAAACACACTCCCTCAGCTGTCTGTGTTGTATTGTAATGAGAAATGAATGGACTGGCTTTAGTTGTGGGTACACTTCATCACATACACATGTTCCCTTTTACTGGCTGACACCCCCTCAATCACTTCAGGCTCTCTTAATCTGTGAGCTGTTATGTTACATGTTGAGAAGTATTTAAGTTGTGTTGTGCAATATTGGTCGGAGTCTGAGGGCTCTGCTGTCCCGCAGTGTAAGTCAATTAGTGCTTACAGACTAGGGCACCTTTCTTAAGTAATTAGCTACAGCTTTCTGTTCTGATTACGTCACCAACCACAAGCTTACTGACGCATAACATTCATCAATCACTGTATGGCTATCAGCGTCTACAATCCCTCTTAGTCAATGCATAAATCTGTTGAACTAATCCCAGGTCACAGGTAATCCTGATAAGGGAGACACTGAGAACATGCTTGGTCCAACAAAAATGAAACCTGAGACTAGGCAAGGAAAAAATTAAGACCACATGAGGCTGGAACAATAGACACAATTTAAAAACCAGTCTGCAGCCGTCTTGAAAAATGTTTTGGGTTTTTTTTGTGCATTTTAAACTGATGCCTAAAATGCCTTCATTTGATATATATTTATTTAAAATGTTTGTGAATATTATCCTAATTTTATGATTGTCACCAAACATCTGGAGCACACAGAATTTTTGCACAATTTTATTCTCATTTTGTAAATATCTATGTTAAGTATTGTGCTAATGTTTGCTTTTTTTGTAAGGCAATAAATGCTTCATGGATTCTGGTCTAACTTGAGCAATAAGTAAGGCCAGATTCATTTATCGGAATAAAAGTATTTTCAAAGAATGATTTTAACTGTTTCCTCAGATTTTCTTGTCCGATGGGGACATAGTACAGGATCCAGCCAAGATTTGAACTGTTTACAAACAATTTTCTACTGGGATGTTGAATGATTCCTTGCTTCCTTATAAGTCCTGAAGTTTAAAAAAGACAAAATGTTGGCTCTTCAGGCAGTTTGCAGGAATTTATTTGACCCATTTCAAGCACTTTCGTTTTTGTGGATTTATGACCTCTACAGAAGTATGAAATATTACGCTGTGAACTGTGACACTTTCTGTCAGTACAGAACTGCTCATATTGCTCCTTTAGTTTCACTTGTGAATTCCCCTTGAGGGAACAACAGTGCTAGGCATCACTCTTTGCCTATTACCGTCACCTCACAATGTAACAGCAGTGTCTGCCAGTGTCTGCACACACCTACTTAGTTTATGATTAGTGATTGGCATTATGATAACAATCATATTTTGCAATAAAGTCTTGAACCTCTAGCCCGCAGCCGTTTCACACAGAAATGTGTACACATTTTGGAAGACAGAAAGAGATTATCAAGGTCTCTACGAGTGCCAAGGAGGAGTCTTGACTTGCTGTTTATTTAGGAACTCTGTTCTTGCTCAATATTGCTGGTTGCAGTTATTCCTTCCCCTTGAGGAATATTGCAAACACTGGATAATACAAATCAGGATTCTCAAACTGCTGTTCATTTCTCACCCTCCATCCCCCTTCCTTTAGTCCATGATATGATATCAAAAATAGAATATAATCTGGCAAGGAAGATTATTATAATTTTTTGTGTAGTTGTTTAATTAACATAAATGTATATACAAAGGTTCCTGCAGATGCGTGCACAGATAGGAAGAGAGAAGGTTTCAGGCCTTCATTTGTTGTTTGGCTGCAAACAAAAAAGATTAAATACAATTATTATATAAAAATGTTTTAAAAGTTTTTAAAAAAAAACTTTTTTGCAGTACTTGAACACTGAAGTGCCCCCAAGCTAAACTGAGTTTGAGAGCCCTGTTTCAAACTGATTAAGGATGCAGTGAACAATGTTCATTGTGTCAGTGAAAAAATTAAATAACCAAACCGCATCTGTCTGCAGTTGCTGTTTAAAAATCAGTTTAAAAAGGGAGCTGATGCCTGAGTGGAACTGATACATCGAGGGTAAATAAGTTGTTTTTAACCAGAGTAAATTATTTGCTTTGAGGTGATCAAAGGTGAGTAAACATGGCATGTCAATTGGGTTCATTGAACATAGACAGGAGCTTGCCCTTAGCTAAAATAATTTCAAATACCAGTATGTAGGATTTAATGGCATCTAGTGGTGTTAGGGTTAGTTAGGGTGTGTTGCAGATGCAAACAGCTCGCCTTCCGAGTGTGTAGGAGAAACTACGGTGTCTGAGAAAACCACAAAAAACGCAACTGGGCCTATTTACAGCCAGAGTTTGGTTTGTCCGTTTTGGGCTACTGTAGAAACATGGAAGTTCAACATGATGGACTGTGTAGAAGAGGACCCGCTCCCTCTGTAGATAAAACTGCTCATACTAGTGAAAACACACATTAATATTATATTCAATTTCTGCCAACAGAGCCTCCTAAATGTTGCACACTGGACATTCAAGTCTTGAACCCAAACACTCTGTATTTATATAAACTATGTTCTCTCTTTACCTTTACCTTTCCTAACCTTCAGGGATTATCATGAGGAGCCACCATATCAAACCCAAAAGCAAGTCAGCATTTGTTTGTAATTGCATTTGGCAGTGAAAGTCCAGCCTTGAGTGCTGGATGTTAAATCTGTTCAGTTCATAAAAACATAGCTGAGATGGTTGCGAAATAGTAACCACTGCCTTATATGGACAATCTCCTTTTGAACTGAATGAAAGCACAACATGACTGGGAAGCAGTTTTAAAGAAAACTGCAAACAACACAGAGATTAGAGGTGTCTTCCAATAGATTACAGATTGTGCTGCACAGGTTCACTTTTATCCGAAACCATTCAGTAAAATAAGATGAATGTGTTGATTTGATTTGATACCAGGAGGAATTGAACTTTTAACTTTGGTCCTTTATTTAAATGTATCAATGCATGACCAGTCACTTTATTCTATGTTGTTTGCAATCCAAAAGTCTGTGATTAATGTTGCAGTGAAAGGCAAGAAATGAAGCATAAATGTCTTCCAACAGAACATAACTGGAGCAAGATCTGACACGTCTTAGTGGTTAACTCTCACATAGCAAAGTTTATATGTACATCAGTTTACAGGCAGCAACTACAGGTGAAGTCTTATTTCAAGTAATATAAAATCCTTTCAAACTGAGCCAGAGGTGAGAAAGAGAGAAACTGCATCTGGATTTCAGTCAACAGCTGCTGTTTATCATCTGTTCCACATTAACTGGGTCATCAGTTTCACACCAATGCTCTAAATCAAAAAGATGGTCAGCTGTGAGACTCTGGGAACTGATTGGGAACTGGCTTTGTTAATAATTCATGGTGTGAAAAACAAGGGCAACTGTAGCTCTGCTCTCTCAACACCTGCACTGCACAGTCTGGTTTCTTCTTTTGTCTACTGTATGAGAAACCTGAACCATGCCCCCGTTTTGCTATTCATTACTCCAACACCATGCATGCAGTAGTAGCTGATATTCAATATTTTCTTGGAAAAGCCCTCAAATGAAGATATTTTAGCTCAAAAACATTACCTTATTGTGGTACATTAGCAAAGCATTCAATAGTAATATATGAAGGTGGCATTGTAAAGTGTCACCCAATAAATTGTTTTATTTCCAGATCATTTTTCCTAAAAACGAGTCTTTTTTTCATCGAACTTAAACCTCTAATTTAGTCTAAAATATGGCCATAACAGATCATTAAATTAATTTCTCTTTCAGATCCACCCCTGTGTGAACCCACAGATTAATCTGGTGGAATGTAACAGTACTTAGACTCATTTCAGCTTGCTAGACAAAATAACATCTGATATACAGACACAAATTTTGAGTGTTGGGAAGGAAATAAGTCCAACAAAAGGCATCCACACATCAAATGTAATTGAATTTCTAAATGATTTGAAGGGCACAGTTCACAATCCAGAGACTTGTTGTACTTAAGTTTTATTTTTGTTACAAAAGGAAACTTATGTATGAAATGAAAGTCAATCTGTTGACATAGACAATTGTCCTACAATGCAATAGACAAAAGAACACGTAGGAGCTGTTTATAGCTGAAGGTTATTAGTTGCAGATGGTGGTGAATGAGTTACAGAACTACCTCAGAAAACAAACAATACTTCTTTGGAAAAATATTTTGCTACCTGCTTATTGATTTTAATTGGCAATAGCTTTAAAGTAGAAGTTCGATAGTCTTGTTTCATTTCCTGTTGCTGAGTATGCAGATTTTGTTGTATACAACCTGCAAAAACAGTATTTTAAAAATGGCTTTTATTGATACTATATAGTCAGGAAATAAGAAATAAACAGGAAACATAGAGCGTGAGATACTTGTGTTTTATCAAACAAAGGTCCCCAGCTGGATTGGAACCAGGAACATGGTTAAGACAGTACATGTCTTTACCCCTAGGCCACCATGATGCCCTGAACTTGTCAGTGACGTTCAAAGATATTTCACAATCCATCCAGTTCTAGGAAATGAGAGACGTCTTGGATGAGACCTTAAGGTTCACTGTGTAACATTAAGGAGGCTCTATTGGCTGAAAAGGAATATATTCATATTCATAGGTATGTTTTCAACAGTGTATAATCACTTGAATATAGGAATCGTTGAACCTACAGTAGCCCAGAAGGGACAAACCAAACACTGGCTGTACATAGGGCCTTTCCTGTTTTTCGCGAGTTTCGAATCCACTGTAGTTTCTCTTACACACTTCACAGCACATTCTCGTGCCCTAGTCGCAAATACAGATGCGAGCTGTGTTCAGTTAGTTGCAATCTGAAACTTCTCCCCTAGATGCCACTAAATTCGACACGCTGATCTTCCAAGCACGCTCCCAGTTTCCTTTAACCTCTAGAGCAGACTGGATCACCAATTGGGAACATAAGGACCCTCTTGTTGAGGAGCTCTGTGTCTGAATCTGGTTCTGACATCTCTATTAGTTTGATTTATTTATTTCTCAGGGAAAATGCACATTAATGAATATTGCTGTAAATATTCCAGAATTAGCCAAGAGGCTGGTTTTTATCTGAAGTCATCGGCTAGGTGTAAAAGTTGGGCAGCTTAAAGTCAGTATAAAATACTGCTACAGTATAACAGACCACAGACAGATAATGTGTGGGTGGGGGCAGCAAAAAAATTGGCAAAGGGCCCACCTAAACAAATTACTTTCAATATGAAGCTGTTCTTGCTCTCTCCAAAGCCTCCAGATTCCTTTTACAAATCAGTAATTTTACCTCCCAGACAACAGTTACTGGTCCAACGCTGCCTCAGTTCGTTAGTAATTGTATTATTTGTATTTCTAATTTTGGTGAATCGCTTTAAAACACTGAAATCACACAATTACAGGATGGGGGATGTTTTTTAAAGCAGTTTGGCGTCTGTTTATCTGTTCTGGATAAGCATGGCTTTCACTTATAAACCACTGAAACCTTTAGAGTTTGCTATTCACAAAACACCTCAGTTTCTGTGAACCATGCCTCAAAGAAAAGGCCTCTCAGAAGACCTTCATTATTGATTTAGGATATATAAAAGTGGAAAGGGGTTACAGACTCATCTTCAAGACCATCTATCCGAAGTCAGACAATTTGTCTACAAACAGAGGTTACTAGGAACTGTCACAAATCTCAGAAGAAGTGGCCGAGATTACTGCAAGGGCACAAAGAAGAATGCTGTATGAGGTAAAAAAAAAAAAAAGAAGAGCCCTGGAGTCACAGGCCTAAAGGAGTTATCGGAAAAGGTTGACTAACATCTGTTGACGAGTCCAGCTTAGTGTGGCACCTGTAAAAATATTTATTTTTTTTGTAGTACATGTCCAGTTACTTTAATTGTAACATTTTGTTT